CCCTTCCTCTCCCCCTCTTCCTTCCTTCTCCCCCTCCCCCCCCCGTCTCCTAATTATCTTCCCTCACCGCCATTATTCTCTCTACCTGTTATTCCTCCCCCAGCGCGTTTTCTTTTTATATTACTCCCTTTATCGTTTTCTTTTTTCTTTCTTTCTTTCTTTTTCTTAGCGTTCTCTCGAGTATCTTGTCTCTCCGGGTGTTTTGTGAGATATTTACTTCTTGTGATTCTTCTTCCTTCTCGTCTTCCTCCTTACTCTCCCTTTCTCCTTACTCTCCCTCTTTCTATTCCTCTCCTACTCTTCCTACATTCTCTCCCTTTCTGTGACCTCTTCCTTACTTTTTGTTTCTGTTCATGCTGGTGCTTCCCCTCCTGTTCTTCTATTTTCTTTTGTTCATCCCTCTCCTCTTCCCCCATCTCCTCTGGCTCCTCTTCTTCTTCTTCTACTACTATTTCTACATCCTCCTCCTATTCTTCTTCTTCCTTCTCCTTCTTCTCTTCCTCCACTTCGTCCCCCTCCTCCTCCTCCTCCTCCTCCTCTTCCTCTTCCTCCTTTTCCTCTTCCTGTTCTCCCTCCTCCTACCCTCTTCTCCTTCTACCTATTCCGCCCTCTCCCCCTTTCCCTCCCTCCCCCTTTCCCTTCCTCCCCCTTTCCCTCCCTCCCCTTCCCCCTTTCCCTTCCTCCCCCATCCCCCCCTCCCCCTTCCCCCCCTCCCCCATCCTGCAGGTATCTGGTTGATTGAGGTGTAAGAACGCACTGATCTCCTCCCGCAAAGGCAGATTGACGTCAAGGGAAGATGGCTGATCCTTCTGCCGAAGCCGAGGCACAGGATTCGGGGGGAGAGGGGTAAACGGGGGGGGGGGAGTTGTGCACGTGAACGGGGAGGAGGAGGGGGGAGGGGGGTCGTGCGCGTGAACGGGGAGGAGGAGGGGAAGGGGGGGGAGGTTGTGCACGTGAACGGGGAGGGAGGGGGGAGGGGGAGGGACGTGAACGGGGAGGGGAAGGGGGGGAGTCGTGCACGTGAATAGGGAGGGAGGGGGAGGAGGGGTCGTACACGTGAACGGAGAGGGGGAAGGGGGGAGGGAGGTCGTGCACGTGAACGTGAACGGGGAAGGAAAGGGGGGAAGTCGTGCACGTGAACGGAAGGGGTGGGGGGAGGGGAGGGGAGTCGCTGCATTACTGTCGGTGTATTTATTGCGGTTTTGCCCTTATTATATTGTTTGTTGTTTTGAAGTCTCCGGCTGTAGAGGGAGACGCCATTGTTTGTTATAAATGTGGGGAAGCCATGTATGCACTGCCTGCTTGTAATGCCACCGTGGCTTAAATCCGGCTTTCTGCAACTGCATGCATGTATACTCGCATAACGACGTGTTTACTAGGCATTGATGCGTGCGGCCATTTGTCTTCTTTTTGCTTGTATCATTATATTTGTTATTGTTGTTACTGTCATTGTTATTATTGTTATTATTATTATTGTTATTATTATTATTATCAATATCATTATTGTTGTTGTTATTATTATTATTATAGTTATTATTGTTTTAATAATTATTGTTTTAGTTATTATTAGTTGTTGTTAATATTCTTATTCTTATTATTATTATTATTATTATTGCTATTGTTGTTGTCATTATTGATAATATGTTTTTTTCATGATTACTATTATTGTTGTTGTTGTTACTATTATTGTTATCATCATCATAATTACTACTATTCTTATTATTTTATTTGGAAAAAAACGCGCAAACAAAACAAAGCAATGGCAACAAAAACAAACACGGCCAACACACCATCCGATCTGCGTTAGTGATTCCTCACAGTAAACACATAAATAGCAAATAAATAAAAATGATTGAATAAATGCAGTAAAAACAGAAAAATAAAATCAAAGAGAAAACAACGACTGGCAACAAGGGATCAAAAGCGCCTTAAGTGTGGCTTAGCCGGAGGTAGGTCAGTTCAGCTGTTGTCTTGGTGTCTGTCTGTCATGTTTGTTATTATTATTATTGTTATTATTATTTATTTTTTTATTACTATTTTCTTATTTATTATTTTTTCATTTTTTATTTTTTATTTATTATTTATTTGTTTGTTTATCTAGTCATTTCTTTTATTTATTTCATTTATTTATTTTTTGTTGTTGTTGTTGTTCCAGATAAAGGGCGAACTTTGGTGCCGTTGTGTTTGTTATTTGTTGGTGTTATTGTTCTCCTTGTTGTATTTATTTATTGAATGTTATTATTACTATTATTATTGTCATGATCATCATCATTATCTTCATTGTTATTGTTGATATTAATGATGTTCGTGGTGATGGCTGTTATAATTACTGTTATCATTATTATTATCATAATTACACCTTTCTGCTGCTTTTGGTAGTCAATATTCTTATTCTTTTTCCACGTACAACAGCAATGACATTCTCTCTCGATTATCTTCATTCACCACATTCTTATCTATCTTTACTAATGTCACCTATTCCCCCTCCCCCCTCCACCAG